GTGCATGCCTGTAATCCCAGCTCCTTGGGAGGCTGAGGCAGGAGGATCACAAGTTTTGAGGCCAGCTTTAGCAACTTAACAAAATCCCATCTTAAAATAAAAAATAGGAAGGTCTGCGCTCAGTGATCCTGGTTTCAATCCTCAGTACCACACAAAAAAGTACAATATGTTGCTAAAGGTTCTTATTACTATAAAATTGCTATTACCTGTGGGTCTTTTCAAGTGACAAAACAAACAAATGCTTCTTTTTAAAAAATGAATGTAAAACTTTCCTTGTTAAGACATAAGAAGCATTTTTATTGGTGCATATTAATTATACAGAATAGAGGGTTTCATTGTTGGCATATTTGTACATGCATAAAACAATATTTCCCTTGACCCTTCTCTTCTCCTTCCTGATTCTCTTCCTCTAATAGTCTCCCTTATTCATGATGTCTTTTCCCCTGCTTCTAGCTTCTACATATGAGAGAAAAATATGGTACTTGTTTTTATGAGCTTGACTTACTTTGCTTAACATGATGGTCTCTAGTTCCATTCATTTTTCTGTACATGGCACAATTTCATTCTTCTTTGTGGCTGAATAATACTCCATGTGTATCTATATCACATTTTCTTTATCCATTCATGTGTTGTCAGACACCTAGGCTGATTCCATAACTTGGCTATTATGAGTTGTGCCATAGTAAATGTGAATACTTATGTATATCTACAGTGTGCTAACTTTAATTCTTCTGGATAAATATCAAGGAGTGGTGTAGGTAGATCATATGATAGTTCTATTTTTAGTTTTTTGAGGAATCACCATACTGATTTCCATAATGGCTATACAAAGAAAGATTTTGGAAAAGAATAAGAATAAATATTAAATATATTTAATATATGTAATATTAAATTTCTAATTCAAATTTAATATTACATATATTCTATTATGGAAATCATTGTTCCTAATAAGCCTTATATTGTGTACCTATAATATACACTAATAGTTTGAAAATAATAGCCTGTATATTTCTACTAGCAATAATACTATTGAATAAGACTTAAGATTTATCCTAAGAATATATTCCATTGTGAATGTACTGTGAAAACACTGTTTTTTATCATTTACTTGATGTGGTTTTACCACCAACTTAATATACAGTTAGATCATTTGCTTCAGTTTATTTTCAATTTTTAGAAACTGCAGTTTTCTTTTGGATTTAAAATTATTTTGAACATGATATATACATATATACATATGATCCTAAAAAATCAAAACTATATAGGTCTGGTTTATTCAGAGTGATCAAGCTTCCATGTTGATCTCCTCTGGTTTTTCCTGCCTCAAATATATGTAAATATATATTCAGAGTTCAACTATCTCACCAAATTCATACCATACTTTTTGAACTTTTAAAAAACTACTGTATATCCTGCAGACCACTATACATCATGTAAAGAGATGGCCCTTATTTTTTCACAGTTGCATAGTGTGTTTTATTATGTGGATCCACCACAGTTTATTCCACTAGTCTAGTAGTTGTGGTTATTTGGATTGTTCCCAGTCTGTTGCTATTACAAATAATAATACAATGAATAACATTGTGCATAAGTCATTTTGCATTTTGGAACAGCTGCCTACAATTGGGATTTCTGGGTCAAAAGGCAAAATGAGGGGCTGGAGTTGTGTCTCAGTGGTAAAGCGCTTGCCTAGCGCAGGCGAGGCCCTGGGTTCGATCCTCAGCACCACATAAAAATAAAATAAAGGTATTGTGTCCAACTGCAACTAAAAAAAATTTTAAAAAGGCAAAATGATGGGTAATTTTGTTAGTGATTATCAAGTTCCTTTCCATGGGTGCTGTGCACCATTTTTCTTTCTCAATGGCAATATGTGCCATCCCTGTTCCTTACAGCCCACCAACCAAGTAAGTGGGCAATCACAGCATCACTATCCTTGTTAAGATCTTGTATTTCCACAGGTTGGTCTGGGTTTCCAGTCAACATCAAATATGACCTCACTTCTTTCTAAAGTCAACAGAATACAAAGAGGCAGGTAAGTGAAATCCACTTATTGAGAAAGATTCCTCAGCAAGGCGAAGGAGGAACCATGACCACCTTTTGTCAGATTACTTTCTCTAGAAGAATATCAATATCAAGAGAATTGATATGTATGGCTGGATGTGGAATGACCATAATCTTGCAGGGCTGCTAACTCTCAGGTTCTCTTCTTTTGATGCTTTGTAGGAGTAAATGTTATGAATGGACATTTTTTCTTTTCTCCCTCCCTTTTTCCCTCCTTCCCTTCCTCTGTTTCTGCTGGAGATTGAACCTAGGGCTTTATGTATGCTAGATATGCATTCTACCATTGAACATTGTTTTTTCTTCTAGCAGCTCCATTTCCAGTGGGCTATTTTTCCCTGCCCCAGGTGATAGATATTTGGCAATGTTTGGAGATTTTTGGTTGTCACAATTTTGAAGGGATACTTCTGGAAACCAGTGCAGAGAGGTCAGTGATCTGTTATACAATAATAAGAACATCCCTCCTCACACCAAATAAAGAATAATCTGGTCCAAAATATCAAACATACTTAGGTCAGGAAACCCTGCTAGGGGGGCTAGGGTTGTGGCTCAGTGGTAGAGCGCTTGCCTAGCATGTGTGAGGCACTGAGTTCAATCCTCAACACCACATAAAAATTAAAATAAAGTTATTTAAAAAAGAAACCCTGCTGTATTACTACTTCATGCACACATTCACAGACACCTTTTTAAAAACATTTATTTTTTAGAAGTAGTTGGATATAATATCTTCATTCTATCTATTTTTATGTGGTGCTGAGGATTGAACCCTGGGCTTCGCACGTGCTAGATGAGCGCTCTACTGCTGAGCTACAATCCCAGCCCACGGACATCTTTAAAGTAGCTATTATCAATGGCAAAGGAAGGGCAGAATCCCAGATACTGCCCCCTTGCTCCTCCTAAAGTCACTAGCAATTTGGAAATCTCTTTAATCATAAAGACTTGAAAGAATTATATATTTACCTGGAAGATTAAAGAACAAATACATTTTGACCTTCTAAACCCTGATAATCATTATGTATAATGCAACCTTTTAACTGTAAGTATAAAAGAAAGTGCTGATTATTTAAAGTAAATGGGACCAAAAGTCCCATGAATAATCAAAAACTTGGTTAATAGAGTATGACCAGAGAATAATGCCCTTGGTTTCTGTGGAGAAGTTAAAGTACATGCTGTGAATTGATATTAAGGAAATTGCATGAAAAGTTGCTCTTAAGGTACCATGATTCTGAAGAAACAGTCTTGAGTGCACAGTATATCACATTCAGTCTTTATCTTTCTTTGGATTTTCATGACTTTTTTCACCTTGGATAACCCAGAAGCTCAGGCCTTGGAACCTTTTGAAATGGTACAGTATCTGAATCACCGCATTTATTTTCATCTAACAGCAGACTTGTATTTTATTGCCAGGAGTTTATCTCTTTCACAGGAATTATTTTCAAACTTCAGCATACTTCACTTATTTTGAGGAGAGAAACTGTTTTTGATATCTTTCAGCATACTCCACTTTAAATAATCTGTACCCCTAAAAAGTCATACCTAAATTAAATTTTTGTAAATTTGAATCATAAGGGAAATTTGTTATTAAAAAGGACTCAAACCTTTTGTAAAGTATCTTGTTTACAAACTGAACAATTCCTCTTAATTTGCCATTTTTTCTAAGTTCCAATTTTTATATGTAGCCCAAAAATCTATGCATGGTTCAAATTTAAAAAATACTAACCATGAATTTAGGAAGATTTAAAGCTGAAGAGAATTTTAGAAGCTATAAATATAGGAGTGTAAAAACTAGGTAATGCAGCCTTTATGAATAAGGGTTTAACACTTGTTTTGGGTGATGAGGAAGAGGGTAAAATGTTGCACCTACTAAAGAAAATAATAGGTAACACTACTAAAACAATATTCACATTGACAACTTTCCATCAACAATGATGAGGAAAAAATGGATTGCAGTCTTTTACATAAGAGTAAGGTTAAGAGTATGCATTAAAAAAGAAATAGACTGTCTGGGTCCATATTCTGCCTAGCATGTTTGTTCGAAACTTAACACAATTCAGCTGTGCCTGAGTTTCCTCTTATAAAACACGAAGAATACTAAGATCTACTTAACGAGGCTGTTTTGTGCTCATACGTGAAAAGCACTCGGTCCAGCGATACGGTTTTGAACCCTGGATGGAGAGTGGAGTTCCAAGGCTAGGAATGAAGAGGAAAACGACAGAGGTGAAAGCTGGGAGGAGGCAGCGTTTCATTCCAACCTCTCTGCGCCGTGCGAAGGTGGCACAGCTGATTCTGCCCGGACTGCACATCAGCGGAAACGGACGCTGAGATGAGGCCGGTGACTCAACAACTCTCAGAGGACGTCCCTAAGGGAAAGGTACCCTTTTCGCTGCGCTACGCCACTTTCAGTCTGGTAGGGCGTAGAGGACACGCGGGCGGAGTCCTACAGCTGGACTCGGCCTTCCACCGGAGAGCCGTGGCAGCCTGAGGTACAGGCAGCCAGGCCGCCTTCACTCCGGTCCACTGCCCCTACCAAGGGCTGGCGGCGGACAGCAACCAACGGCTTCGGGAGGAGCCGGCGCCTGGGCCTGACACTCTTCCTTGCGGGCGAGACGGGGCAGGGGTAGACACTGGACAGACACCCGACTCTCAGGACAAACATACGTGCCCACTCAGTGCTGGGCGCCGGGACGCCCTGATGAATCCCGACTGGACCCAGATTCGAGGCGCCGGGGGACCCCTCCGTGCACACACACAATCTCTGCCACGGGATCTTCCTAAGCCAAGGAGAGGAGAGGTTTTCATTCCACCCGTGGCCTCCCAGGGCTCACTTCCAAAACTCCGCCTATGGGGGCGTTCCTGGCTGCGCCGTAAAGTAGGGGACATTCTTTGCTCCTCAAGAGCCCGCCTCCATCTTTACGGCAGGCCGCATTCCACGCCTCCAATATGGCGCCCCCCACATAGACTTTGGTTGTGGTTTCTGCTCCCGGTACCCGGGGTCAGTTTTGAGCCGGAGCTGTTGTCTATCCTACTCTAGCTGTAGAAAGCAGCAAAGGTCGTTTCTGGTCACGGCTCTAAGGAAGCCACTCTCCTTTGAGAGACGGGAGCCACCGATTTTTTTTTAGTTCCTGGAAGTTCCTCCTCAGCCCCTGCTTGGTTTCCCCCGCCACCTCCGGACACCCCCCAGGTCCCTAACTCTTCCAGACTCTAACCATGAACCTTCAACGTCTGTTGTTGCGCTTTCCGGGTTATCTGGGGGCCTTGGCCCCCCCACGTCGCCTGTGGCGGTTCCCATCCCTCGACACTATCTCCCCGTTGGGACCCTGGCGTGGTCAGTCCTCCAGGTCCCCAGCCCACTGGAACCAGGTGGTGTCAGAGGCTGAGAAGATCGTGGGCTATCCCACATCCTTCATGAGCCTCCGCTGCCTGCTGAGCGACGAGCTCAGCAACATCGCAATGCAGGTGCGGAAGCTGGTGGGAACTCAGCACCCTCTGCTTACCACTGCCAGGTGAGGACCCCCAGTTCCGCTGACCCCGCGCGCACCCATTCAAGTTCTGATTCTTGGCCAAACACCCTTCCACCCTTCCTAACTTGCTGAGGCTGCTTCCTGCCAGTCTTTATCTTTTCTTTCTTTCGGCTCTTCTAGACATTACTTATTATCTTTTTTTTTTTTTTTTTTTTTTAAATAAACTGTTGTCTTTCTTCTTGTCCACCTTGACATTCTTTCTCCACTAACCCAGCTGAGTAGATGAATGGTTTTCTTATGAGAAACTCTTGTTATGTTCTTTGCGATTTTGCTGTTTTAGTTGTTGATGGAGAAGATGCTACAGTGATTTGTGGAGAAATTGAGCATGCATGTAATTTATTGAGTCACTTTCTAGAAATGGCCTTTTAAAAGTGGGATAGATTAATTTTCAGTTCCGCACTCTTCATTGGGTCACTCCCAGAAAGAGTAGGGAGGGACAGAGAGAGACTGGAAATAGACACTTCTTTTCATCGAATCCAGGCTTGAAGTAAGTATTTATTCAGTCTGTAGACATATACTTCTTGGGGTTTTTATCACTCATGCTGGACTGTTTCTGTGAAAACTGTCACAAGTTTTTTGTTTTTTTTTTAAGCATGTTTTTTTTTTTCTTCCCCACTTAAAAACAGCCTGTACCGTGTGTGTGTGTGTGTGTGTGTGTGTGTGCGCGCGCGCGCGCGCGTGCGCGCGGTACTGGTGATAATGCACAAGTACTGTATTGCTGAGCTACACCCTCAGCCCAACAACCCAGCCGAACAACCCACGTCTTTTGATTTGTAATTAATTTTAAACGAAGGGGGAAGTTGCAAGAATGAAAATAGTACAAAGAACACACTTGTATGACCATTTATTAGATTCACCTACCACACACACTACTCATTGTGGATGATATATATATATATATATTTTTTTTTTTTTCCTGAATCATTTGAAGTTAGATTGCATATATCATGGTCCTTTACTCCTAAAAACTCAAGTGTCTATTTCCTAAGCTTAGAGATAATTCTTTTATGTAGTTGTGAATTTGGGTACATTTAATATTTTTTAAATATTTATTTTTGTTGTAGATATCTTTATTTTATTTATTGATTTTTATGGGGTGCTGAGGATTCCACTCAGTGCCTCACATGTGCTAGGTGAGCTCTCTGTCACTGAGCCACAACTTCAGCCCGGGTACACTTAATATTGATAAAATACTTTTATTTAATCTACTGTTTATATTCCAGTTTTTAAAATTGACCTAATAATGTCTTTTTAACATTCTTTATGCTCCAATACAGGATCCAGATTAAGGTCAAGTATTGCATTTAGTTGTGATGTCCCTTCAGTGTCTTTCAATCAGGATTATTTCCATACCTCTTCTTGGCTTTCCTGACCGAAACAATGGTTCTCAATTTAGCCTCAAAGGGGGCATTTGACAATCTGTGACAGAACTTTTGGTTGTCACAAATGGGGGCAAGTAGAGGCTGGGGGTGCCACCCTAGAATGCTAGCATAGCCCCTCCTTTAGTTTAATCAATGGTAATGTCTACTGCAACTGTAGTATAATTCTACAAGCAGGATATTGACATTGATACAATCAAGATACATACTAATATAATTAAGATACACTTTCATCACTATAAGTCTCTCTCCTGTTGCTTTTTTTAGCTACACCCACTTCCCTTGTCCACTCCCTTGCTTAATATTTTATGAGAAACACCTGTCACTTTCTTACTATAAAAGTTGCCAAATAGCATAAAAAAGTGATTGTATTTCTTTTCTTTTGGTACTGAGCCACTTCCCTGGCCTTTTTTTATTTTTTGAGACAGGGTCTTGCTAAGGTTTCGTAGGGCCTCACTAAGTTTTTGATGCTGGCTTTGAACTTGTGATCCTCCTGCCTCAGCCACCTGAGTCACTGGGATTACTGGTTATGCCGCTGCGCCTGGCTTCAAGTGATTGTATTTCTTAACATTGTTCCTAATTATCAGGAATGTTACCTTATGATTGCACTAAAACTTATCTGGTAGCTGGAATGTTACTTCTCCAGAGATTGTAGGTGATAAACACTCAGAACACACACACACACACACACACACACACACACACACACAGATGTATATATGTATATGGTTTAAAGCTTAATAATGAAACTAACAAGTCTACTATCCAACTTAATAACTATAACTTTGCCAATTTTGTTGACGATACATGTGTATTTTCCAGTCTCTCTCTGATCTCTATCTACTATTTTTTTTCTTAGAGTTACATAGGTATTTCTCTAAACAATAGCATGTTTAATTTTGCCCATATTCTTTGAAATTTTCAAATATGATAGTTAATTACTTATGGTTTTCTATAACTTTTAAAATTCATTACTGTTTCTGAGACTCATTCATGTTGTATATTTAACTGTATTTCATTTATTTTTCACTAGTGTGTGAAATTCCATTGGGTGAATATACCACAGTCTTCTTTTAATCAGCATTGGGATGTTTGCATTTTTTTGGTGTTATGAAAAAGGCTGCTATGAATATGTTTGTATGTCTTGGTGTACATGTCTTGAGGGTATAGATAGGAGTATAATTATGGTGTGTACATGTTCATCTTTAGAAGATAATATCAAATTGTTTTCTAAAGTGGTTATACCAGTTTACACTGTCACAAGCAGTGTCTGAGTTCACGTTATTCCATGTTCTTATGACACTAGAATCATTGAGGTTTCTTAATTTTTACTAATGGAGAAGAGAGTTTCTCTCTCTCTCTCTCTCTCTCTCTCTCTCTCTCTCTCTCTCTCTGTGTGTGGTGGGAATGGTTGTGTCCACGATGGGGTTTGTAGTAGTATAGTAAGTACATTGTGAGTATTGTATTCCCTTTAATAAAGCATTGAAGTGAAAAGGGCAGAGCTGAAAAGAAGTTTATTTAATGTGTATTTTTGGAGAATTGCAGTTCATTTACTTAGCTGCCACAGGATCAGATGAAGACTTGACAAAGATCTCTTCTGAGAACATTAGAGACACACCAGATGAAAGGTGTGTCTAATGGCTTTGCAGCTTCCCTGATTATAACTTTCCCTGTCTAGTAGTCTCACAGTATAGGGAAAGAATCAAAGAGGAACTAAATTTTAGCAAAGTTGTTAAGGTAGCATATATGAATTGTTATTTTGCAAGAGAAGAAGGAACTCATTTGCATGTAATGTTACTATAGTTATTATGAGTGTATGTTGCAAATTATTAACAGTCTAAACTCATAGGCAGTCAATGGAAAAATAATCTTTCGGGGAGAGGACATATCTCTTTCTCTTTATACATGCGCACAGCGGGCGCACACACACATACACACCGTACATCTGTTTTAGCAAAGGAGGAAGGACTTGATGCATGGGTTAGGCAGGTTATGGCTATTGTAAATTAGAGCTAAAATATAAACATTATCTTATTTTACATACTGTACACCATACTTTGTTGAAGTCTTGTCAGCAAAGCATTGATAATTAAGAGGAAAATACTCTCAGTAAGGTAGCCAAAAGGGCACAAACACCTCCTGTAGTTGGTGTAGTTAGGACCATAGGGAATTGGACTGCTCAATTCTTTACAATTTTAATGACCCATTTTATACTCTGATTTCCTAATATTTTCTTAAATCAATATTCTAATCTTTTGTGCCATTTACTTTAAATTTTTTAATTTTTATTTTTAGTTGTAGATGAACATAATACCTTTATTTATTTATTTATTTTATGTGATGCTGAGTATTGAACCCAGTGTCTCACACGAGCTAGGCAAACACTCTACTGCTGAACCCCAGTTGCAGCCTGCACCATTTACTTGTTGAGTATATCTGAACTGTATGTTTAGGATGAAACATATCTAATAGTCCTAACATTTAAATGAGTTGTAATAGTGTTGGCAAACAGCAGGAAGGAGATGAAAAGGCAATCACCATTCACTATTTTTTTTTTCTTTACCTAAGCCACCCCATCAAGAAAAGTGTTACGGTTTAGATATGGTGTCCCCTAAAAGCCCATATGTGAGACAGTAAGATTGGGTTATATCCTTAACCTAATCAGTGAGTTAATCCCTCATGGGATTAACTGAGTGGAGACAGGTGGGATGTGTTTGGAGGAAGTGGTTCATTGGAGATGGGGATATGGGGTATATATTTATATTTGGAGAATGGAGTCTCTATCTCTGTTTTGTGATCATTATGTGAACTGCTTCCCTCTGCCACACTCTTCCACCATAATGTCCTGCTTCACCTTGAGCCCTGAGGAATGGTGCTTGCTGTCTCTGGACCTCTGAAACTGTGAAACCCAAAATAAACTTTTCCCCCCTCTATAATTGTGCTGGTTGGGTCTTTTAGTCACAGTGGTGAAATAGCCGACTAAAACAAGAAGGGGAAAGAGAACCTAGAAGTACATACTCTTTAACAATTTAATTCTGAAGTGAGTAAATTTAAAAATCTTGATGTTGTTGAGCTAATAATCCTAGTACTGGGAACAGTGGAGCAAGAAGCTCTTATTTTTTACACTTCTTCTAGATTTTCTAGGATCTCTCTGTTGTAACCTCCATTTAGATAAATAATTTTCAATAAATTGATTCAGTGTTTATTGTAACTTATGAACATAAAACAATCTGAAACAGGGACCCTGTCCCTTAATGAATTGACATTCTATTGAACACTAAATATGTTTACTAATATCTAACAGAATGATAAAACGACTTGTGGCTAATGAGCTATTACAGTTAGATATGACCTAGAATAGTAAAGAAACTTTCATGGAGAAATTGGGACTTCATTCAAGGATAGATGGATACAAATTACATGAGTAGTATTTTAGGGTGTTGGTAGTATATTATATATTTTTATCCTTCATGGTTTTATCTGTTTTTCTCAGACTATCATATTGCTATTAATATGCGGAACACTTTAAAAGAATACGCAGTAAAGTAAAATAAATCAACTAGAGTAGCCAAAACAATGTTGAGGTGGGGATAAAGCGGGAGA